ACAGCTAATTGGCACGACATATGGGTTTTAAGTTTGTGAATCCCTATTTCGCAAAGGAATCGGAAGAGTGTGCACTTGCGCAATGTGTATTGAAACTGTAATACTGTAAGAAACTGCGGCACGAGGAATTATAACCGATTCACATAGAACTTTGCTTGGCAGCTCTCAAGAAATGTAAAAACTTCATACTAAAAAATTCAAATTATCGCTAAATTCGTCCTAAATTAATTAAAATCATTATTACGAAGTATCAGTTTATTATGAAATTTTGTGTACAACCTATCAATCTTCATCCTCATTCCTTAAATCGCAATGAAAATATTGATTTACTTACACACACACATAAGTATACTTGTATTTTCATTGTTTATTATCTGTTGCTCTTCTAATGTGGATCATTCCCAATGCGTAAAAAGCTGTCAAAATAACTTGACTATAGTATATGTACTATATACATACGTATATATTTGTTATGGACCTTTAACAACAAAGCAAAGAAAGCAAGCGGTAGGCCAGAATGAGCACTTTGCTTTCTGTGTTACTTGTTAAAAACTGCGACTGTTGCTTGGCAAAGCGTAAAAAGATCAAATGTCTGAAGCAAAGCAGAGCAAATGTTATAAATGAATCAGAAATTTTACTACAACTAAACGGGATAAACACAAGAACATAGAATAATTAATTGGAATTTCGATGTTTTGAATTGTTTTAGTTATTATGGTAATTTTTTAGGCTTTGCTACTTCAAATTCGACATATGTAGCACTCACTTAGTATAATAGAAAGCTGCGTTTAATCGAACGAACAAAAAACGAGCTGTCTGCACATTTTCATGGTGAAACATAGTGTTAAGATAAAAAACTATTTTAATAGAATAAAACTTTAGGATAAAAGTAGTTAATTTCCAAACTAAAAAAGGTTAAACTGAGTTGCAATACAAACAGAAGTAAATTTAGTTACAGCAGAAGATAAAGAGGAAAGCTTACAGCTTGATCAGTGTTGCTCTTGCTGTAGGGTACCGGAATCAAACGCTCTTGCAGTTCACCGCCTATAACCTTTAAAAGGAAAAGAAAAGTAAAAAAGAAAAATATTTGGAGAAAGAGGTACATTGAGATTGAAACAGTTGAATTGTTGGTGTTGTGATAGTAAAAAGCTTTGTTCAGGTATTAGTTATATTATTTACTCTCATATTAGTTGTTTGTTTAAGCTTCATTGGTTTAGTTTTTGTATTAATATTTTTAATAATGAAAAAATGTTGATTACCCACAGCCCGTCGCTGTTTGTGCTCCATTATTTTTACATATAATTTATGCATTTTATTTGTTTACAAAACGCTGTTTCAATATAAAATATGTGAATAATTGGTAAATAACAACACAATTGACAAAAAATGAAATGCTTACTGCTTACTTATACAAATACATACATATGTGTGTATGTGTT